CCGCCAAAGGACATCTGCTATGACGCTTTTGTCTCCTACAGTGAGAACGACTCCGACTGGGTGGAAAACATAATGGTGCGGGAGCTGGAGCAGGCCTGCCCTCCCTTTCGCCTCTGCCTCCATAAGCGGGACTTTGTGCCTGGGAAATGGATTGTGGACAACATCATTGACTCCATTGAGAAGAGCCACAAAACACTCTTTGTGCTGTCTGAGCACTTTGTGCAGAGCGAGTGGTGCAAATACGAGCTGGACTTCTCACATTTCCGCCTCTTTGATGAGAACAACGATGCGGTGATTCTTGTCCTCCTGGAGCCCATCCAGAGCAAAACGATTCCCAAGAGGTTCTGCAAGCTGCGGAAGATCATGAACACAAAGACCTACCTGGAGTGGCCTCTTGAAGAAGAGCAGCAGCAGATGTTTTGGGCAAACCTGAAAAGAGCCTTGAAGTCATAGAAGAACTCAGCAGCTCCCATTTCAACATATGTCTGCAAAAGGCTCTATGTCAGTGTTTCTTCTTGCTAAGAATTTTTTTTTCGTATTTTTCTCTCTAAATACAGCTGGCTTTGTTGTGTGTAGAAATAATTGTCATGTTACTCACTGAAAAAGGACCACTTTTTCCTTTCCATTTTCTCTGGTCTTTCAAAATCTCTGCCAATAACTATAATATTTTGAAGCTATATTGGACTATATATACTTTTCTAAATACATTTAACTGAGTGTAGGGTATTTCTGTACTTTTTTCTGCTCTTACCACTATCCCGAACTCATCTCTAACAATGCCACTGCAATTTACAATTTAAATTAAAAGCCAAGGACTTCAATCAATACCCTCCTGAGTCCATCTCTTCCTGTGAATGCTTGTTTGTCCCTTTGCAGTCACCACCATTTTCCCTTCTAGCTAACCCCAGAGATAGCTGAAGCCTTCTATTTCTGGAATATGAGCCTGTGTTTCTAATGTGTGGGCTAGATGGTGTTGCAGACTGTCTCGTTTCTTGGTTTTGCTCTTCTACTTCGCAGAGGACATTTATGTAACCACTAGGCCATGAACCCCTTACTGCTCTACTTAACTTCTTTTCTAGAGGCTGAAGAAAATCACACTGACAAGAGATAGTTCCTCTCTCTACTTCAGTATGAGACATCTCCTAGATCTACTGTATTGCTCTTCACCAATTACAGAGGGAGTCTAGACAAGCAGGTAGATACAGATGTTTATGTTAAGATAGCTGGTCACACTCTGGGTGCCTGGATTTCTTGTGTTTTAGATGTTCTTGTGGGAACCTGAAACTGTCTCTGAAGGGATTAAGTTAGGTGTGGTTTCTCTGCCTTGGCACTTCCATGTTCCCCTTTGCTTGTATTGCTGGAGTTTAAGTACAGGAGAATCTAGATGAATTTTGGTTAAACTTTGGATATGCAATTATTTTGTGGTGATAAACCAAAGCATTGGCAGACAGGCTGAGTGAGTATTTGAAAAATAGCAAAATTTGCTTATACAGACATGTCTGTTAGTATACTTGTTCATATGCATATATATGTGTATGTGCTTATACATGTGTATATATTCACACTCCTGTGTGTATCTGTACACATATCTACACATGAGATGGTAGTTTCTGTGGGTGTAGCCTGCAAACAGCACTTTCAGTTCTACTTTCCTGTTATAATATTATCTCTAGGGGCAGTCTAAAGTCTGCTACAAAGAAGTTTTTTGCTCACCGTCTTGGAGAAAAATAGCTCAGTAGCTTATCAAGGCTGAACTCCAGGTAGGTGGTGAGTGAATCATGTGAGACCAAACAATGAGCATTGATAAAACAGACTAGGAAACTGTGTACCTAGAGGTAAGAAGGGAAATAAGTCTTGCCGGTCATTACAAAGAGAGAGTCAGAGAGATGTAGGAGAAGCCTTAGTTTTCATATGGTACACTCGTACTATAGACCCGGGCTTTTTCGGGTTCGCATATTTTAAAAGGAGTGATAGTGTTCCTGCTTTTATGCCAATCAGATCACCTAGGTGGGAATTCCCCTGCTTACATTATCAAGGTTTAAAGGTGAAGTGGAAATGAAACAGCAGCATAAGAGGAAGCTGGGTAAAGAATGATCAACAAGAGAGAGATGAAACACAACGTGGGTTAACTGGCATGCAGGCACCAGGGCTGGAGCTGGCATCTCTGGGGATCTTTTCAGCAGAGAGGTGAGTTTTTGGGTAGATGAAGGGAAAGACAGTGGAGCTGCAATGCCAGAGCAAGAAGCAAGGAGAGAGCACTGGGAAGAGGCTATCTAATCTCTGCCACCGAGTCCTGCTCTGCATGGGGGTTTGACAGTGCTCAGGGCTGCTGAGAACGAGTGTGGGGTCGGGAGGGATTTCTGTTACCAGCAGAAGTGGAGCAGGGAGGTGCAGTCACAGGCAGCTGGCAGGTATGCATGGCAGGCAGGCAACAAAGAAGACTTCTCAGGAGAGCTGGGACACGCTGATGGGAGCAGTGTCCTTTGAGAAAGGGGAGAAAGGAGAGCAGCAAATGAAAAGGACAAATTGGGTCAGACTGTGTCATTTCTGCTCAGTTTCCTTGTGGGAGGGTGCCTTGTTTGTACTTTGTCCTGTTCCTATGTTGTCCCACTTGTGTACTGATACTAGCTGCCCAGGGAAGGCTGGGTGTGAAGGTGGGATGCCTTGGTTTCAGGAATTCAACCAGGAAAGAGCCCATTGAACAACGGCCTCAGGACTTTAGCTACCTCCTCACCTAACTCGGACCTGTTGCACATTCTCTGTGTAGGAAACAAGAAGAGGCATTTCCATGTATGTTGTGGATGTATGTATGCACATACATACTGTTAGGGCAGTGCTGGTGGGTGATAACTAGGGCACATGTAACCCACACACAACCACGTGGAGAGCAGCAGCTTTCCCCAGTCTGCTTGTAGTTTGACTGCTTCATCAAGCGGTGACTATCCCACTGCAGAGTCCATAGCACTGCTCAAATTTACCACATTTGCCTGGGTAGTGCTCCCCAAGCTAGGATCAATTTGTGCGTTATTCGCACTTACATTAACCTTTTGCATTTGATAGCATTTATAGAACTTCATTCTGTTGTCAGTCATAGTTTTGTTTTAGAATATGCACATATTTCCTCAAATATGTCTACTGACATGGCCCAGCGAAGACAGTCCTGAGCATGTCTAATGGTTTGGACCCTTTGTCCGTAACCCAGAAATGTTTTGAATGTCTGGTTCGTCACAGCATCTTATGGTATAATGGCATCTATGCAAATTTCTGTATTTTTAGTTGCATTTTAATTTCTCTGTGGCATTTCATTTACCAGCACAAGGGGAAAAAGTGATTCCTTGATAGGGCAATGATATAGAACTGTATGTCTGAGTGGGTGTGGAAATTCCTGAATTGATCCTGTAAGTCAGGGTCTTAAGCAGAATCATTAGAAATGAATGGGAAGGGAAAGAGACTGGCTGTAAATTGAATGAGGGTGGGAATGGGATTTCTCTGAGTGTCTGCTCAGATAACAGATGAGCAAAAAACTGGAAAAGAAGCTCACAGAAGTGACAATAAAGAAAAGCATAGAAAAGCATCCTGAACCACCAAATGGAGTTTACTCCTGGAGTCCCTGGATGGTTTCAGGCTGGTGAGGTGAAGAGCCATTAGGCTCAGCTGGTATTTCCCGTGCAGTACCTTCCCAGTTTCCTTCTGTGCTGCAATTTACCACCTATAAATAACCTATCTATAGATAGCTTTTGATTGATCAGGTCACCTGTTTGTTTCTTTTTCTAACAGTAAGTATTTTGATGGCAACAATAAATATATCACTTGAATTTGTTACTGATGAAACTCATGTTACCTGTAGCTTTGCTCCTGTAGCCTACAGCACTGTGTTATCCAGTTAGACTTGTGAGACTGAAAAAAAGCCCTCTGAAAGAGCCTCAGATGGACAGCAGATGAGTAACTACAGATTACAATTCTCTATGTGGGATTCACAAGGAAAATTATCTAGGTATCTAAACTATGGTACTCCATTTTAAGTCAATGGGGTCAATTCTCTTAGACTCATCACGTCTTAATCTGGGTGTCTAAGACGTGATAAGAATTGCCCCTGAAAGACGTTATTTCTTTCTGTTGACTTTGGATGACATGGTGGATGACTAGCTCAGCTGTGGGCATCTAAAGACAGAGAAGACAACTGTGTCCTTCAAGATTCAAAGCTCTATATCAGAGAGAGACAGAGATAAAAGGCAAATAACACAAGAGGTCAAAATGTTTATAATCCTCCAGGTGGGAAGAGATGGAATGATTGAAAAAATTATCCACAACTTTTCCTTCCCTCTCCATATGCTCAAAACATCCCAGTCAACTCTGCCACTTTTGAATAATCTTGAGCAACTATGGCTAAAAATAATGCAACTGGAAGGGCAGGACTTATCTATATGAACTTGTATGTGTGGGTCAGCTACTGTAAAACAAATCAGGATATTAAATTAAAGTACAGGAGATCTTCTGCACAGAGTCTCAGTGGGATGACAAATGGAGAAAGTAGTTCTCAGTGAGCCAGTCTAACCCGATTAACCCGATACATAGTTCACGATTTTGTGAACCTGTTCATTGGCCTCTTTGGAGTTGGTACATTCTTTTCAACCTTGGTAAGATACATACTGAGGTAGGGGGTTTGTGACACATGGGGGAAAGTTATATTTTAAAAATGTTCTTTGATCCTTGTCAAAAAAAGTTATAATTCAATATGTAATAAGGGTTTTAAAGGGAAAAGAGCTCTCTCAGGCTTCAAAAATTGTTTTCCCAGCTCCTCAGAAGGGTAGAAGAGCTAAAGTCACCTTGTTGGGAGTAGGGACAGGCTGGATATTGCAGCAAGTTGTGTAACAAAAAAAAGCCATGCCAAATCAGTACTATAAAAGGCACAACTGTGAGAGGAAAGTGAAGTGACACAGAATCCACATCTGTGTACCTTTTCTTGAATCATTTCAGTCCAGAAGATCAGGGATAGTCTGTGGGGCTGGAAAAAGCTATCTAGTTCAGACAGCTGATCTGATCTGAAGGAGGCTCCAAAGACCCCAGCTCTTCCTTGTGGCTTGGCCTGATCTTCTCTCTGCCACAGTTGTCCAACACAGGAAAAGGCACTGGCAGAGAAGAAGGATGTGGCAGTAAAAGGAAGAGCTAAGAGTCAGTAGGCAACAATGGTAAGTTTTACAAGCTCAGGTTTTATTGGCAAGTACTGGACTGATGGCAACATGATAAAGATGGCCTATGCAGTTACCTAGGTGAGTATTTTTTTCCCTACTCCTAGCACATCCACAGGTAGAGAAAGGCAGATAAAACAAGGAATGGACTGAAACAAAGACATTCCTCTTCTCCTCATTGTGAGAATTGACATTAGACATGAAATTAGTATCAAATGTGAATGATGCTATGTACTGTAAGATGCTACTCTTCTTGATGTAACCAGGATTTGAAATACACACAGGAGACTCCCTGTAGTAAAAATGAATACACAAAATAATATTCACAGGCTCAGAAAAAAAAAATACCTGAGGTGGGACAAAGGAGGGAGGTATGAAGACTCTGTACTAAAAAGGAGGATGATGAGAGTAGTTGTGCTGATACGGATGTTTAGCTGAATCTGCAAAAAATTTGTGGAGCTCTTAATTGATTTGATAGTCTTCATGCCAAATTTAGAAATCACAGGGGAAAAATAAAGAGTAAAATCAATATATACAGCTTTTAACAAAAGATTTTGAAATATTTGGGAATAGTATGTCGTTTTTAATGGATCCATTTCATCTCTGAATTGTGTTAAAAACAAATATATTTACAGTGTATTGACAGAACAGTGAAAGTTATATTTTAAATGTACCTTGTTCAAATCCATCTTATATTTACTCTGACTATATTTTGTATTTTAGGTGAAATAATGACTAAACACAGCTGGCAAGTGTGGGTCATCTACATGCTCTTAGCTGCAAACCTCACTGAACAGCAAGCGCTGAAGCAGGCTTGTCCTTCATTCAATGATGCTCAGCTTTGCAACTGCTCTTCCATGGGCTTGGACTTCATTCCCCCAGGGCTCACCGCCAAAATCACAATGTTAAACCTGGCCCAAAACAGGATAAAGCACATCCAATCCCAGGACCTGCAGCAGGCTGTGAACCTGAGAGCCCTGCTGCTGCAATCCAACAAAATCAGCTCCATAGATGAAGACTCGTTTCAGTTCCTGGTGAAACTGGAGCTCTTGGACTTATCAAATAACAGCTTGGCTCACTTGTCCCCTGTGTGGTTTGGGCACCTTTTCTCACTCCAGCACCTCCACCTTCAAGGCAATTTCTACAGAGACCTGGGAGAAAGCTCTCCCTTTTCTAGTCTGAGGAACCTGAGCTCTCTCCGCCTGGGCAACCCACGGTTCTCTGTGATAAGGCAAGGGAACTTTGAGGGCATTGAGCTTCTCAACAAGTTGTGGATTGATGGTGGTAATCTCAGTCAGTATGAGCAGGGAAGTTTGAAATTGATTAAGAAGATAAATCACATGGTCATAAACCTAAGAAATAGTGATGTATTCTCAGAAATTGTTAGGGACCTTGTGCATTCTGTGACTTGGCTAGAAGTGAGAAGAATAGCATTCAGTACCTCTGCTGAAATGCAACTATTGAGAGTCATGTCTTCTTCTTTTGCAAAGAAAATTTCTTTTAAACAGACCTTATTAACAGATGCTACTGTGCCTGAGATTGTCAGCATTTTAGAAGACATGCCAAAATTAGTGGAGGTGGAGCTAATAGACTGTAGACTCTTGGGAACTGGACGATGGGAAATGCAGATTCAAGCAAACCAATCACAGACCCTTAGAGTTCTCACAATACAGAAATTATCTATAGAAGAATTTTACTTGTTTACAGATCTTCAGACTGTGCAAGATCTACTATTTCTTTTTACCAGGGTCACAGTTCGAAACACCAAAGTATTTTTGGTCCCATGCAGAATTTCCCAACATCTTCAGTCATTAGAGTACCTTGACCTTAGTGCTAATTTGCTTGGAGACCAGAGTTTAGAGCATTCAGCCTGTCAGGGTGGTTGGCCATCACTACAAACTCTAAATTTAAGTCAGAATTCACTGGGTGACTTAGAAATGACTGGTAGAAGTTTGTCTCATCTAAGAAACCTAAATGTTTTAGACATTAGCCAAAATAATTTTGGTGAGATTCCAGATGCATGCGAATGGCCAAAAAACCTGAAATATTTAAACCTCTCCAGCACTCAAATTCCTGAAGTAACGACCTGCATTCCCCCAACGCTGGAAGTTTTGGATGTTAGTGCTAACAACCTGAAAGAGTTTGGACTGCAGCTCCCATTTCTGAAAGAGCTGTACCTCACAAAAAACCAGCTGAAGACTCTGCCTGGTGCTACACCCATTCCAAATTTAGTGGTCATGTCAGTCAGGAGAAACAAGCTCAACAGTTTCTCCAAGGAAGAGTTTGAGTCCTTCAAGAGAATGGAGCTGCTGGATGCCAGCGACAACAACTTCATCTGCTCCTGTGAATTCCTCTCCTTCATCCACCACCAGGCTGGGATATCCCAGGTGCTGGTGGGGTGGCCAGACAAGTACGTCTGTGACTCTCCGCTGGCGGTGAGAGGGGCCCAGGTTGGAGCTGTACACCTCTCCCTGATGGAGTGCCACAGGTCCCTCGTGGTGTCATTGATCTGCATCCTGGTGTTCCTGGTCATCCTCATCCTT